AATTCGACTTGTCTAGTAGGGGGCACTCCTGTAAAGTCTTCTGGGAATACATCAAGGAAGTTACAGACCTCCGGAATGTCTTTTATGTTTTTAGCTTCTTGTTTCTTGTCTACGACGTTGGCTAAGAAGGCGAGGTACTCCTTGCGGAGATACTTTTGGGCCTTGACACACGAAATGATCTGAAAGTTTGAGCTAGGCTTGTCGCCATAGACGACGAGAGTTTCGCCACTTGGCATATTAAGGCGAACGGCCTTTTCGTGACATAGGATTTCAGCATGGTGAGGGCATAGCCAATCCATGCCAATGATGACATCGAAACTTTTTATGGTGACCGACATAAGGTCGATTTGGAAAGAGTGATTGTTTAAAGTGAGGGTACACCCGATATAAATGTCGTTAGTGTTCTCTGTTTTTCTGTTAGCCATTTCTACGGTGAATGTGTCTTGTAGTGTTTGTGGTTTTTGTTTAAGCAAGTGTTTAAATTGATGGCTCACGAAGCTTTTCTCCGCGTCACTATCGAAAAGAATGCATGCGTATGTATTGTTGAGGAGAAACGTATCGGTGACCACGGTTGGGTCTGCAACTACTTCCTCATGGCCTATCGCCAGAACTCTGCCCACTTCACCCGGTTTAGGGTTTCTTGCTTTTGGGCAGTTGCGTTTGAAGTGCCCTGCCTCTCCACAAACATAGCAGGTTTGACTTGCTCCGGCATTAGCAGCTTGTGTGTTTTGTTGGACTGGAGCTTTACAAAATCGAGTGGTGTGCCACTTTTTGTTACAGTTGGTGCAATGCATTTCACGGCAGGCGCCATTATGGTGAAAGTTGCACTTGTTGCACTTTGGTAGGTTCCCGGTGTATTGCCTTATCAGAGTTGGGTTGGCAGTAGTTGTGGCAGCGTTCACAACAAGCACTTGTTGTTTCTTGGCAGGATCTTGAGCAGGTTGACCCTTCTTCTTGTTCCAGAACTTCCTTTTGTTGTTTCCCCTTTATCTTGCTCGAAGGTGGTTGTCACAGTGCTATGGATGGCTTTATGGTCGATGAGTTGTTGTGCCGGTTCTTTGGCATTATCAAAGGTAGTTGGCTTTGAGGCCAATACGTTCCCTTGAAGTTGGGAAGATAGTCCCCATATGTATCTTTCCACCTTCTTGCTTTTCGACAAAACCATCCCTGGAAACAGTATAGCTAAATCACTAAACCTTGAGGTATAAGACAGGATGTCAGGGCCTATCATTTTGAGACCCCAAACTTCCTTTTCCAACTTATGTATATCGCCCCTTGGGAAATACTCCTTCATCAACATGGTTTTCAGGTCTTCCCATGTTATCGAGTTAGCCACCAGAAGTGTCAATGTCTTGACGTGGCCATTCCACCAGTTGAGTGCCCTTTCAGAGAATGTGCATGCTGCAAACTTGACCTTGTTTGCTTTTGGGCATGCACATATTTCAAAGACGGATTCGGTCTTCTCGAACCATTGAAGCAATGCTATGACACCTCTGCTCCCATTGAAAGTTTTGGGTTTGGCATTAGTAAAGTCTTTATAGGTACACTCTATCGAGTGTCCCTGGCTGTCCCCGTTGTTAGAATTTGTGGCACCATTACTCGCACCACCCACATTGTTGTTGCTTATTTGGGATATGGCGGCTGCTACTGCAGCTGTTACGGCCGCCTGGAACATTACTAGGTCGAACTGAGGAGATGGTGGCAGTGGTGGCGCTGTAGTTCCTGTGGGACCGCCGTGTCTAGGATTTCTACGAGGTGACATTTTCTTCCATATCAAGAATGAGAACGATGAGAACAAAATGTTGATTGAAGAACCAGAGGCAATTGTTGACCGAAAGACTAAGAAGTTGCGACGCAAGATGGTCGAATTAGTGATTGTCCAATGGAAACATACGAATGGGTCAAATCTCACTTGGAAAACGGAGAGTGACATGATGAGTCGCTATTTGCATTTGTTTGTTGATGTGTGATTCCGGTGACGAAATCATTCTAAGGTGAAGAGAATTGTAATGCCCATGTTTCTGGGCTTTTCATTAATAGTGATGTAATAGTCTAGGTTAACCTTTGTAACCCGTTTCGAAATAATAGAAGTGTATTATTTGAGTATTATGTGTTTTGTGCTTAATTGTGTGTCTTAATTAAATTAAGAATAAAAATAAGCATGAAAATGAAATGCTAGATAAACCCAATCAGTTTTTATTTGCATTACAGGTAGTAGCGCGAAAGTATAAGATGGATGAATCATCAAGTTATTTTATTTATAAACATGTACGTGTATATAACTGTTGTATGGCTTGTAATATGTCGTTTATGCTTTTCGGTCTGTATCGGAACATGACATCCCGATTTTTGATTATATAATTAAAATACATTTCTTTATGAAATGATTTGGTAAATATTATTTTATCACATTTTATTTTGGGAACAAATTTGAGCTTTTTTAAATCAAAATGATTTATTATGATATTATTTTAAAAACATAAATCAAACCGGTCTTTTCTAACCGTGATTTTAGGGATGTCACAATTCACTTTCAAACTCATCTGGTCACGGGGTGTTCTTATGGTATATTAAATTGCAAATTATTATAGGTGGTTTGAAAAACGACTCCGATGACTGGTTCTTATTATTTATTATTATTTGTTTTGGGATGAAGACCTGGGTGTGCAACATTTTAATCCCAGAAGGTATAATTGGTGTATTTAATTGATCATCTTTATTTGTTTTTTTAATTATTTTTCAATATTAATCATGTTGTAAAATAATGCTTTGTCGTCATAACCAAATCAAGCATCCAAAGTTTTCAGTTTACTACATTTTATTTTAGGACTAAATGCAAGTAATAACTTTCATTTTTTTTTATTTCTATCATGCTACTTTCATTTTAATCTTCTATTACAACATTGTATTTTCTATCTTTTTTTTTTCTTATCAACCTATTATACTATGAAATTCTACCCTATCGTAACATTTTGCGTTCAATTTTTTTTTTCCTATAAAGACATTATATTTTGAAAAATATATCCAATTATAGCAATAAAATGGTTTTATATTTTGAGGGGATTGTTACAATTGGACATATTTTTTAATTTTGTAATCTCCCAATTTTTACAATTTTATTGAATTTTTTAATTAAGATAAAATACAATTTTCATAAACCCAAAGCAATAAACCCATATGTTCCAAAAAGTAAAATTGTAAAATCTTAGTGTGATAAGTAAATGGGGAAACATAAAATACAAAACCTGCTCATAAGTGTGTAGATGAGCCCTCAGATTCGCATTTAACCCAAACCTTAAACAAAATTTCCAAATTTTATAATATATATACCATACTGAAAGCTGATTTTAGACTATGTACGCGTTTTGTTAAACATTACATGAAATAACATTTAGATTTGAAACTTTTTGTTTAAACTAAACGTCAAAAGCTTATAGTGTCAAACGAGACTCTCTATTTAATTTATCAAACGTTAGAAATTAGAAGCTAAAGTTTCTACATAAATTTTCTATAAATTGTCTATGTGTAATACCCAAATTAAAATAATAGTCACCTTTTAAGACAAATTTATTAATGGTCCCGATGTATAAGAAAGTTATAGAATGGGTACTTGTATAATACCCAAATTACATAAATAGCCTATATGTAATTGTAGAAATATATAAATGGCCATATGTAATACAAATATTATTGAAAGACAAAATTTCACGATTGGTCCCTGTGGTTTACACAATATCGCACTTTGAGGACTTTCTAGCAAAAAGTCATGTGAATGGTCCTTAAGGTTTCATTTAATTGCGCGATTGGTCCTTGACCCTAACCCCGTCATTTTTGAGCCGTTAGTGAAGGGGTAAATTTGTCTTTTCATCTTGCAGTCACTCTAATAATCGATCATTATGCACATATACGCATGAACTCTGTAATTAAGTACAAAGATCATCTTCCTCAGCTACCCATTACCCTTTCGCATTCATCTTCGTCTTCTCCAACAGAACACAAGGCAGAGGATCATCTGTCGATTGAAAACGATAATGGTGTTAACGTTATGGTCACTTCGTTCCAAACACACTAAAGCATCAAATTATGATTTGGAAAGGATATACCGTAAGTGACTTACTAAAGTGATCTTTGATTTTCTCGATTTGATATTATGCCCAAATTGTTGAAATTTTTTTGTTATTCTTTATTTCAGAGGGAATAAGCAACTATTTCACTCTGAAAATCCATCATGGTGGGATATTCACGAAAAGCCCTGGGAGAAGGTACGTAGATGGAACAATAGACTATGTTGACTTCGTAGATATTGACGTATTCTCTGTGCATGAGTTGGATACAATGGTTCGAGAAATAGGGTACGTAGAAGGGCAAACTTTGTATTATCATTTTCTTATTCCAGAAGTAGAGTTGGACTTTGGTCTGTTACCTCTAGGAAATGATGGGGATGTGCATGTATTGTCAAATTATGTGGAAAAAAATAACCTTTTAAGTATCTACATAGAGCATGGGCATACAAGGGTTAACAGTTATTTTTTGTCCCCCACCAAGGTTATTATTGAGGAGTTGGTTACTGATGTATCCCCTGAACTAGATAGGAACCAAAAGAAGGGAAAAGTTGTTGGGTCTTCTAGGAAAAAATTAGACTACTCCCAGTCCATTGTGCCATATGGAACATTTGATGGACCTTCACAAGTGATACAGGATAGTGAGCCAGTTATGGATGATGAGCCAGTTATGATTGATGAGCCAGTTTTGAATGATGAACCAGTTATGAATGATGTACCTGTTATGAATGATGAACCAGTTATGAATGATGTACCTGTTATGAATGATGTGCCAATCATAGATGACCAATATAATGAGCCAGTTATGAATAATGATCCAGTTGTAGATGATGAATATGATTGTGAGGATAGTGCAGATGAAAGTGATTTTGATAGTCAGCATGATGCAAAAAAATAGTGTTTGATGAGGAACCTTTGATAGATGATGTGGAGGTGAACATGATCAACTTCTGTAGTGTACTTGATGAAGACATTGACTTGGGCCAGCTTGATCCGACAAACAATAATACTAAGGAAAAGGAAGACATTGAAGATGAACGTTTAGAAGTCTTAGACAATGATGTATTTGAGTCATTTGCTAGTGAAAAAGAGCCTAGGAAGAAATTGTTAAGGTCCATTCTAAAACCAGTTGCTTGTTCATCTGGTGAGGTTCACACTAAAGCTTTTAAGATTGGTCAGACGTTCAAGGAAAAGGAAAAAATAAGAGAAGTTATTGCCAACTACTCTGTAAAAGAAAGGAGGGATCTACATTATGTAAAGAATGACAAGACAAGAGTTAGGGTAAAGTGTAGGGGTATTGTTCCTGAATTGACTGGTGACAGTAATAAAGATAGGGGCAATTTAGTACTTTCCAAGAAAACAACTTGTCCATGGGTTCTTTTTATATCTAGGGCAGATGAGAAACAACTTTGGACTGTCAAAACATACGAAGATTCTCATTCTTGTTTGCAAACAAGGACAGTGAGGGCTTGTTCATCTAAGTTTCTAGCTAACAACATATTGCATCAAGTTGAAAGTAACCCCAAGATCCCTACACGTGCTTTACAAGAGGAGTTAGTACAGAGGTATTCACTTTCAATATCAAAGATGAAAGTATTTCGGGCCAAAGCTATGGCAAAACAATATGTTTATGGTGATTATGAAAAGCAGTACGGTGTTTTGAGAGAATATGCCATGGAATTGAAGTCAAAGAATCCAGGAACAACTGTGAAGATAGATGTCGAAACTGAACCCAATGTGTCTTCTGAGACAAGGATCTTCAAACGGATATATATATATATGCTTAGGTCCATTGAAGGAGGGATTTAAAAAAGGTTTGAGGGATTTTCTTGGATTTGATGGTACGTTTTTGAAGGGTCCCTTTCCAGGACAAATTCTTACTGCAGTTGGGCTTGATTCGAACAATGGCATTTACCCAGTTGCATATGCCATTGTAGAGACTGAAAATATTAACTCTTGGACATGGTTTTTGGAACACTTGGGTGATGACTTAGATTTGAATTCTTCATCTAACTTCACTTTCATTTCAGATCGGCAAAAGGTACCCTCTAACTTTTTATTCACTTTTACTTTTTTTTATTATTTCATTTACTAACTTATTTTAATTGTACTCACAGGGAATCTTGGCTGCAATAGAGAAGTTATTTCCATCAGCTGAGCAAAGGTTCTGTTTAAGACATGTGTATCACAACATGAAATTGAAACACAAAGGAGATGAATTGAGGGAAGCAGTATGGTGTTGTGGAAAAGTATACAACATACCAAAATTTAATAGGGCTATGGAGAAACTGAAAAAGCTTAACCCAGAAGCACATGAGTGTTTAAGTAAAATTCCTGCAAAACACTGGGCAAGATCCCATTTCTCTGGTAAGTATCATACTCTTTTCACTAACATATTTCATAACTGATTTCAGTAATTAATTGTTTGGTTTTATATATAGGAAGGGCATTGACTGATAGTTTAACAAATAACTTGTGTGAGGTATTTAACTCCAAGCTAGATGAGGCAAGGGACAAGCCTATAATCACTTGTTTGGAATATATTAGAGAATACCTCACAAAGAGAATAGTAAATGTTCATAAGGTGCTAGACAAATGCAAAGGTTCTCTAAGTACAACTGCAACAACAATCTTAGAAAACAATAAGACAGAGGCAAGTAAGATGAGGGTTCTATTTAATGGAGCTGATAAATATCAAGTGACTGGTCTATGGATGGAGCAGTATGTTGTGAATTTGAAAGAGAGGAGTTGCACTTGCAGGAAATGGGACATTACAGGTATTCCATGCCAGCATGCTATTGCTGCAATGTATGATAAGATGCAGAATGGGTCAGAATGTGGAGATCCTGAGGCTTGGGTGAGCAAATGTTACTGGCTCAGTACATGGAATGCTATGTACCAACACACAATTGACCCAATAAATGGAAGGAGCATGTGGCCTAGATCTGATTGTCCAACAACCCTTCTCCCACCCAAACATCACAAACAGGTTTGTTGTCATACATGTTTTGTTTAATTTAACTTGAAACTATTTAATAAACTTGTTAATATGTAACCATATGAATTTGTTTATAGGTTGGTAGGCCAAAGAAAAAAAGGAAGAGGGCAGTTGATGAGCCAACTCAAAGTACCAAGTTAAGTAGGAAACACTTGACAGTCACTTGTAGCAAATGCCACAACAAAGGTCACAATGCTAGGACTTGCAAGGGGCAGGGAGGTCCTAGTGAAGCTGGATAGGGGGTGGACAAAAGAAGGGAAAACATGTTGTAGCTTAGTTTGTATTTCTAAGTAATCTTTTGCTATTATGTCTAATTAAAGTTAGAACATGTTTACTAAGTTTGGTTATGGTATGTCAGTCAAAACAACTACTTTTGATAGGTCTTTTGGGTATTCTATGTTTGTAACATGATATTACACTTACATGCATTATGGTTAATGGTAATGCTACTTTGGTAATTAGTTTTTTGGCTATGTTACTGCACTTTAATAATCAACATTACACTTACATGCAATCAAATTGACAATTTCCTTCCTTGCTAATATAATATCCATCACATTAAAACAAAACATCAAACTTACATTACATATTATATCTGTTACATTTTCTTGTCCCAACATTACATACAATCATAGGGAAAATCCTTCAAAAGCTATGAAAAAATGGGACCAAAAGACAGATTCCAAGTTATAGATTCCCCCCCCCCCCCCCCCAAATGCTTCTTGATTTTTTACTTGAAAAGGTAACACACCATGAAAAACAACCAACTCAGACAAAGTAGCCATTTCACCATCATCAATCTTGCTTCGAGATTGTTTCTTCCACGCAACAACCCTAGAATCACAACAGTTGACCTAGGGCACATGGGAGGGTCGAACCATCCAAAAAAGCTGCATGTTCCTCCTAACCTTGAGCATGACCAAAATCGACGACCTGGGTTCAAGTCAGTCCACGATGTCACCAAAATCGTCGGCCTTCCACAGTGGCATATCACCATCTTCTTCAATTTTGGAATAGAATGTGAGTAGGGAGGGAAGAACAGAGGCAAGGAACGAGAAGTAGAAGGATACAAAGGCGGACCTTAAATTATATACTCTGATGCACAACAAGATGAAAAGACAAATTTCCCCCTTCACTAACGGCTCAAAAATGACGGGGTTAGGGTCAAGGACCATTCGCGCAATTAAATGAAACCTTAAGGACCATTCGCGTGACTTTTTGCTAGAAAGTCCTCAAAGTGCGATATTCTGTAAACCACAGGGACCAATCGTGAAATTTTGTCTTATTGAAATGGTCAATGTATAAAATAAAATTACAATAATAGTCCCGATGTAATAGCAAGATTATAGAAATGGTCCTTATATAAGAAAATATATCATAACTAGTCCACATGTACTAATGAAAGTTATAAGTTCTGTCCAAGTTCACTTTTCGTTACACCACGGGTACCTATGTGTATAGATCTTTCAAAAACGATCATTCTCACTAACTTTGTTAAAAATCAACTTACTTATTGTTTAGGAAATATATTAAGGGTATCTTTATATCTTATTTTGTTGATTCAAAAACCACATAGATAACGTGGCTTAGTGGCAAAATGTTTTAATAAATGCTCGGTCTTAGTTTAGAGTTCTTGAGGTCTTATTATTATTATTATTTTCCTTTGTAATTTCCTCTATACCAACATTTTGTATCAGGTTTGATCAGCTGAAAATAAGATTAATAAATCATCGCAACGAGCGCAATGCATCCCCACTAGTTTAAAACATAGGCTATTATTATTCAAACACGTTATCCACCAATCCCATATTTCTGCAAAATTTTGAGTACCTTTTATTATAAAAGCAATGGTATTCCAATTCCACAAGTTAGAACAATACCTTTAATGGGTATATTCTTAATAGGTTCGCTATTACTATTCTAATATAATCCTTCTAAGTTCACTTGCCCATTTTCATAAACTTAAAGTCCACAGTCATTTTGCATTCAAGGTCCAATGGACGAAGGGGCCCGGTACCATCAATGTGGTGTACCCCTAGCAATGGAAAAAGTAGGTTCCAAACTTAAGCCCGCATTATCGTAAATATAATGACGCATCACTATGATATGATAGTTTCTCACAAATAAACGTTTTCTAAATTAAATTTAACATAGAAAACATTTTATTTTCTCAAACTAAATTCTCAACCACTAACACGTATCCACTTGACCAATTATCTTTTATTTATATATATATATATATATATATATATATATATATATATATATATATATATATATATATATATATATATATATATATATATATATATATATATATATATATATATATATTGCATTATTAATTACAAATTTACAACTAAAATAAGCATAACGAATTACAATAGTACAAATATGTGGATATATAACATGCTCAAAACCATAATTGTAATATACCCCCCAAAAAAATAAAACGACCTATTAGGATATCTTATATCTCATCTCGTATAATGAGATCTGCGGCTTATGCCGAAGCTCACCTAATTTTTACATAATATGAAACAATACTATGTGTAAGACTTATGTATTACATGAGTTAATTAAAATAAATAAATATAAAAGTCTAAAATATTTAAGAATTTTGGATTTTTAAGAAAATAAGCAAAATAATGAACTATTAAAATTGTTTTTTCTTTTAAATTTAAATAAATAAACAAAATAAACCAATAAACATTAATTTAGGAATTTTAAAATAAAAAGGTTAGTCCATTAATAAAATTGATATTCAATTATTACCATATTTATTATAATTATTACATTACAGTATTATGCAGAAAATAATAAAATAGAAAAACCCAAAAAATGATACGTGGAAAAAATATTAATTCAAAATAACTACAAAATGACATTTGATAAATTGAATAAGAGTGTGACATGTGTGGAAAAAAAACCTTTATTTTATTAGAGTAGATAATTTCAATCTTAATGACCGCATCATTATGAAGTGGCCCTATTTACCTAACACATAATCCAGTATACCGTGGTTACTGGACCATTTTACACGACATAATTATCCACAATATATGAGGATTATCTCAACTCCATAAATTTTCATTAGACTATAACCGTTGGATTTTATAGACATAATCAAGTATATATATATATATATATATATATATATATATATATATATATATATATATATATATATATATATATATATATATATATATATATATATATATATATCAAGAATCCAAGATTAATTGTAAAATACTTACTAGATTACTAGAAGAAGATGATATCCAATTGATGCTAAAGATGACTGGCTTTATATTACGATTCTTTAATTTTCCGTAATGGTGCCTTAATCATGAATTTCGATGGATAAAATTAGACACAATTATTGTGTTTATATAGGGAGGCTATAGTAGTTGAAAGAGAAGAAACATTAATCTCTTCGTATGCCATCTTAAATGTGTGTTTAATCGATTAATTACACCTTATGAGAAATTCTTAGAACCATGATGTAACATCCCAAAAATATAGTCCGAAAATTTCATTTTTAAATCATTAATAAAACCATAGCTACAACTCATCACATAAAAATCATAGTCATGTATCTTAAAATATCATAAACATCTATCAAAACATATCAGAGTAAAAGCATCTTAGGCTAAAAAATGGTGTCTGCACTACAATCATCCCGATCTCTTCCCCTTGCTACTGGAAGTACATGAAACCAAAACTGAAAACTGTAAGCACAAAACTTAGTGAGTCTCCCCAAGCTACCACATACCATACACATAATCACATAACCAAAAACATTGGGCCTAGCCCGCGACATCAGACCGCATCTGGCATCGGACGATTTCGGCATCAGGCCCCACCTAGCATCGAGCCCTGCTCGGTATACATATTTGTTTCTACTAGGCCTCGCCTGTCTTTGGGCCCCACCCGCTATATGCATACAAATCATAACATATAATCATGCTAGTATAATCATAACTATAACTACTAGTCTTAAGGCCCTGCCTATCTCGGGCCCCACCCCTACGCTACTAATAATGAGATATGGAATCCTGATTATACTCATCTAGTGATGAGATACGGGACCCCGCCCACACTCACCTCCCTACCAGACACATACAAGTATCACAAAGACAACAAGTATAACTAATCATGCATTCCTTCCTCGGTTACCACCTGGCATCGAACCGTAGTTCGGAAACATACATATAAACTTTCCTCGGGCCTCGCCCAACATCGGATCGGAATCCAGAAACATATAAGCTACAACGGGCTATCCCCGACATCAAATCTAATCCGTCATACACTAACATACATAAACAGGCCGGTATTGGTGCCTCCAACCCGTTCCTACTAGAGAAAACTCGCCTCACAAGTTGACTATAGAATCTCGCGAATAAACCTCTCACTGCTAGCTGGCTGATCCCCGAACTGCTAATCTCTCGACTCCCCGAGCTATCATTACAAACATAATACTTAGTCAAAAACTTATAATCCTTATTAGGGTAAAATATCCATTTTACCTCAGTCAAAGTCAAAGTCAACACCCCGAGTTGACTCAACTCGCCATGTTGCTCCATCAACTAGCCAACTTCTATAAATCAGAATCCTGAAATTGCAATCCAACTCGTTGAGTCACCCCCCTAACTTTCCGAGTTCCTTGGCTACAAATATTCGCGATTTGGCAAATCAACTCGTCGAGTCCCTACACAGACTCGTCGAGTTCTACCTTAAACTAGATCGGGACATCACAACCCAACTCGTCGAGTTTCTCTACGGACTCAACGAGTCCCATAGTTTGTTTGGGGCATCTTAAAAGATTAAGCCTCTACTCTCCAGATCAAAGCTCCATACTCCTTCTACATACTGAAAGAGCCTTCTTAAGGGTAAAGTTTCCAACTTTACCTGCTACTAGTCCTTTTTGATGGGTTTAGCTAAAACCCTAATTCTTTAAGACATGGATCTTTGTCCAGAAAGCCATAATACTCCAAGCTAAAGCATACTAACATAGATTTAGGCCTGAACATCATTTGAACACGTAAAGTCTCAGGATTTCCTTCCATGCATGGCCTTTTGGGGATTAAACGGTCATAACAACACCTTAAAGCTTGCATGGGGCTTCCATGGTCATAAAGTATGCACCTTTATGCCGTGAAACCCCTTCTAGATTCCAGATCTGAAAGATAAACCACTTGGGACGTCCACTTCCTAAGGGCTAAGATTCTTGGACCAAAAACCCTCATAAAGTGAAATAAGGAGATCTAAGAGACTACTAGACAAGTTATAGGCTTGATTACCAGAAAATGATGAGGATGGGATGTTGCTTATGGATCTACAATCCTCTCTTGGAATCCTCTAGCTTCTTCTTCTTCTACAAGCTTCAAATAACACAAGGTTCACTCAAAATGGCTCACACGCATTTAGGTTTCGTGGATTAGGGTTTGGACACTGGAGGCTGGAAATGAGGCCATAAAGCGGGGATTAAGATGCTTAAATAGGGTGCAAAACCCCGAATCTAGGGTTTCCCAAACCCATACCAACTCTTCGAATTGGTCCTCCCCAACTCATCGAGTTGGTTTCTCAACCCGCATCCTAAAAACTTATTTCTACTCGTCGAGTTGTCCCCCTTGGACTCGACAAGTAGACCTTCATTTTGCATAATATCTTTCCTTAATTAGCCTTCTGGTTTCTGGGTGTTACAATTATCCCCCACTTAATCTGGACTTCATCCTCGAAGTTCGCTATAGTCACCTACCCCTAAAAATCTCACGTGGCACACACACAACTCTTCTCCTACCTGTCATGGACCGCTAGTATTTCCTACCACCACTGGCACTCACCATCCTGGAAGTACTACTATCATCATGCCTAATCAATGGCCTTCCCAAGGAAATTGAGCCCAACCATCAAAACCTTCGAAACCTGATGAAAGATCATCCTTATTGTCATACCGAGAACTACTTCTGTCTTTCCAAGATCTGAAATCTATAACGGCCTGTCTCACTAATGGAACGCCTAT